TAAAGATAGCGCACATATAGTCGAGGATAAATTTGTTTCCATTGACTTATCTGAGCTCGATCTAACCGCCGTGGTCAAAGAAGTTAACTTGGTTAATAATCCACGAGAATGGTGGGTCGATACGGGAGCAACTCGGCATATTTGTTCGGATAGAGATATGTTCTCGTCTTATACCCCTACAGACGGAAGGAAGCTGTTCATGGGCAACTCTTCGACATCAAACGTCGTGGGAACGGGAAAGGTGGTGCTAAAAATGACTTCGGGCAAAGACTTGACGCTAACGGAAGTGCTGCATGTCCTTGACATCCGTAAGAACCTTGTATCCTGTGCTCTTTGAGCAAAGCCAGTTTTAAATTAGTCTTTGAGGCTGATAAATTTGTAATGACTAAGAATGGTGTCTTTTTGGCGAAAGGGTACCTAGATGAGGGTCTTTTTAAGATGAATGTAATGAATGTTATCAGCCAAGAGGGGAAGAATAAAGAAAGTATTTCTTATTTGTTAGAGTGTTCTAATTTATGGCATGATAGATTAGAACATGTGAACTTTAACACAAGTAAAAGGTTGGTGAATTTGGAATTGATACCAAAAGTTAAAATTGATTCACACACAAATGTGAAACATCTGTTGAAGCAAAAGAGGCTAAAGTACCGTTTAAACCGGTGAAGAGAAGCACTAGTCCACTCGAGTTAATTCACACTGACATATGTGATTTAAAATTTGTGCAAACTCGAGCGGGGATGAAGTATTTCATTACATTTATAGACGATTGTACAATGTATTGTTACGTTTATCTACTAAAGAGTAGAGACAAGGCATTAGAGGCCTTTAAGACGTATAAAAATGAAGTTGAGAATCAACTTAGTCGAAAGATCAAAGCGATTCGAAGTGAGAGAGGAGGCGAGTATGTAGCCCCGTTTGAAGTGCTTTGCAAAGAGTTCGGTATTATTCATCAAACGACGGCTCCGTATTCACCGCAATCTAATGGAGTGGCCGATAGAAAGAATCAAACACTAAAAGAGATGATGAATGCGCTTTTGATAAGTTCGGGCTTACCCCAAAACTGGTGGGTGGAAGCGGTTCTTTAGACAAATTATATTTTGAACAAATTACCCCACAAAGGTAACGACAAAACGCCATATGAGTTGTGGAAAGGTCATATACCTACCTACAAATACTTAAAAGTGTGGGGGTGTTTGGAAAATGTTGAAATACCTAAACCGAAACAAGTGAAAATTGGACCAAAGACTATTGATTGTATATTTATTGGTTATGTAAACAATAGTAGTGCTTATCGATTTTTGGTGCACTAATCAGAAATTTTGGAGATTCATAATGGAACAAACTTAATGGCTCCACTTTTAGTTAGTGGAAGACTTAGAAAATTCTCAAAACCATTTTAAGGTGAATGAGAAATTAACTCTAAGTGTTCTATATCGAACAATTGAATTTAAGTAATTCAAATGTTGTAAGGTTCACAAAACATTCAAGTTTGACTAATATTTGGACAAACTAAATGAGTCATAATCTTGCATTAAGTATGCTAGAATTGTGGAAGGGCTCGTTGGAGACAAGTAGGAAAAACCGGAACTAAATTCTGAGTCCGAACGAACGCGTACGAGCTTTCGGAGCGCAGCTGCACGCCAGGCCCCGTCGCGGGCGTGACGACCGTCACGGGCGCGACACTCTGTGCACAAGACCCGTCGCGGGCGCGCGATCAAGCGCGGGCGCGAAAGTCTACTTTGTCGGAGCTTCTGTCCTACGCGACAGGGCGTCGCGGGCGCGACGAGCTCGCGACACTGACGCACCTATTCGTATTGGAATGGTTTCTAACCGGTTTTAATCCACCGGGTACGTCCCAAAAGGTGTCTTCTGATGCCTTGAACCTCCTGGAGATGTGTTATAACATCTATAAATACCCATGAAGTGAAATGGTCATTAACATGAAATATTTTCATAATATTTGCATCCTTTTACAAAGTTCATATTCATATTGTGTTTTTTGTTCTTTCTTTCCTATCTTGAGAGTTCAAAACATAAGTATTGTTCGCCGAAGGTTTGTGTATTTGAGTTACCACTATACACAAATCGAAAGTCGTTGTATCTTGGAGGCGTTAGCCATGAACTGTGGGTAATATACGGGGCTATTTCGTCTTAAAGAGAGCGTATCTTACGTGCCTTGACTTTGTTCGTTTAACTAATATTTCTTCTATTTTCTAAAGCCATTCTTGAAATTCACTTACCAAAATATAAACTACATATATTAATTCAAAACGTGTTGAGCCTAGGTGGCAGATTCTCACGCTTCGGATGTTGACATGGCGAAAATCTATGTTTCGTGATGTTGTTTTTATATTATTTTTGCTCTGGAGTTAGGTTTGATATTAGACATAAATAACTTTATTGATATATTCATTAACTCAACACCCATGTTGTAAATGGGTATTAGTATTAGTATTTTTTTATATTTGAATATATTCCTTGCATCTCATTTGAAAACGAACCAAGACAAAATAAAGGGAAGATTAACTTATTTATTAAATTTCCTTGTGTTTTAATTGATGAATATTGAGCTAGATTTGTTTATTTATTTAGTGTAGTAACACGAATGGAAAGAATATTGACGAGAGCTTTGCGATGTGGACGCGACATCGACATAGATGTAAAGATAATAAAACATATATTGAATAACTTAAGTAAGCTCTGCCTAATCTCGCAATTAAGGATGGTCACGTTCTTACATGATTTTTAAAATTCTGAATTAAAGGCGATTTTGGGTAACTCGAACACTCATCAATAAAGGGAAATTTCCAACAATGAAGATTTTGAGGAGATGCTACACAAAAAGGACGTGTTTACGTTCACAAGTTTCGTCATTGTGTTACAACAATTGAGAAAGAGAGAGAGAGAGAGGAAGAGAAAGAGAGAGAGAGAGAGAGAGAGAGAGAGATTGTGACATTTTGAGAATTTTGAGAGTTTTTGGATAGCTCATTTTTATTATATTTTATATTTTTTTTCGTGTCTGATAATTGGTCCTCGTCGCGCTCACTCGAATTTTCTTATCATTCAATCACGCACTCTTACATACACACCTGCAGAGGTGTGTGTCGATTAGAGTTACAAACTAACCTAACGTTTCACGACCTGCTCGCGAGTGCTTGAGTAATGTTTGATCGAGCTCGATCAACCTCAAGTTCGAGCAGACAAGTCTTAGCCTTAAGCATCATTTCAAGAGGCTTGTAAGCTCGACGAGTCGCTCAACTTTTTATATAAATAAATAGTCTAATTATCAACATTAGAACATCAAAGCTAATATTGTCTTTCTAGATTTAAAATAAATAACATTATATTTAAGATTTTTTTTTTTTCCAAACGATGAAAAATATATTAAGAACCTCAAAGTTATACACATCGAGCAATCAACTGACTGCTAAAGCACACGGGGACATACACACATACCCCTGATAATAAAAACCTACCAAACATACAACTGCCCAAAACCTGGAAAACTAGGAAAAGGAAATAAACAGAAACTGATCACAAAGATCTACAATATCAGCAAAAATTACATTGCAAGCCAAACTAGACAACATCTTCTTGTTAAGCTCCTCCACAAGCAGCTTATTGCTCAGACCACAATTGATAGAGGTCCATCCCAAGTTTTTAGCTTTTAACAGAACTCCTCTCACAGCCATCATCCATAATGTCTCCTCCTGGCTGGGACACCATAGTATCTCTTGGAAGTGGACATCAGGTTTTCCTTCACATGAGGCCTGGCAATCAACAGCAATCTGAGCATAAGGATCAAAATGGGCACTGACAGTTAAACTCCACTGACCTACCCTTCCCAGTTCCCTAAAACCCTTACAAGTTGTCTCCTCTTCAGCAAGAACATCAGCCACACCAGCAGGAGCACCTGCATCCTCAAATTCAACCCAATCTAGTCTAGCATTCTCCACAACCATCTTCTCTTCCATCCACTCCTTCCTAAACAGCCAATTGCACCTTGTTTTCCAAAGCCACCATAGGATATAGGTAGATAACCTAATCCTATCTTTGAGGTTTTCAGACCAAGGACTTGAATTCAGCTCATACCACCAAGATCTAAATGAGGCACTTGAATGATCCAACATCTCCCACTGAACCCCACTCAGCTTCCAAACTAACTTAGCTCTGTGGCACTGAAATAGAAGATGGTCAATATCTTCAGCAGCCTCCCCACACATACCACAGACCCTATCCACCTCCATCTTCCTCCTGACCAGTTGGTCACTAGTACTAAGGAATTTGTGCCAACATTTCCATAAAAAATGTTTGATTTGGGTTTAACAAGTAATTTCCAGATTGCCTTCCAATTTCTTGTCATGTTCCTGTTCCCATCACTAGGCTCAGCCCCACCAATACTCACCTCAAGGATATTAAGAATAGCTGCATAAGTAGACTTCACTGAAAATTCTCCTTGCTTCCCAAGATGCCAGATTAATCTATCTTTTCTACCCATAACAGAGAAGGGAGTGTTCAAAATAGCTTGAGCATCATTTTAAATTTAAGATTACTTATTAAATTTTTTAGCCCAACTCGAGCCATGTCGAGCTCGAGCATTTTTTAGGAGTCGAATCGAGCATCATTTTATATGGCTCATCGAGCTCGATCTCAAGTCTGTAGAAAAAAGTTCGAGCTATATTCGACAAAAGTTCATGATCGACTCGACTCGTTGCAGCTCTAGTGTCGATTATTGTAGCATGATATTCATTTTTTCTTTCTTTTCATCCTTGATAGTCAATGCTTAAAATGCTGCGGGACTAAAGGGCAATTTCCATTTTCCACATAGTAATTAATTAAATCACGAGCAACCAAAAAGCAATGTAAAATCGGTCACTAATTCAAAGTTTTGCTGCTTGTGAAAATTCTCCGCCAAATCCACCACGCACAAGCGCACAAAAACAAAGCATTGATTCCCTCCCAACCTCATCGGCGACGAGATCTAACACACAAGGCAAAAAATGGAGGTCAGAGCCAGAGCACCCGGAAAAATCATACTCGCCGGAGAACACGCCGTGGTTCATGGATCCACCGCCGTAGCCGCCGCGATCGATCTGTATACCTACGTCTCTCTTCGCTTCCCCACTCCATCCGGTAATCCGTCGATAAACCCACTTACTCTCCCAAACCCCCCCAAATTTTGTGGTATAATTGACTCATTGGTTGTGAATTATCGGAGTATTGATCGTTTAGAGTTGGTTTTAGTATGCTTTATTTGATTAGGTTACCGACCTTATTATATAAGATAATGCACGTTGGAGGAATTAACAGTGTGTTGTTTTGACCAGGTTCCTGATTAATCAGGTTTCTGTTAATCTTACTTTGTGTCATATAACAATGGATATTGTGTTGTTGTATGCTGTTAGTCTCGGCTGAAAGCATGACATGGTATCTGAACTGTTAGTTTTATTGCATCTATGCAATGAAACAATATACACGAGTGCGTCTCTCATGGTTTACTAAATGACAAGAGCTTCAGCTGAGCTATTCTGCAGCCGATATTTTGAACTGATGTGAAGTTTGTGAACCTTCATGTATTTATGTGGTACTTATCGTTGCTATTGGTTTGTGATTATATGATTTGTCTTCAGATATGTTATTACGAATCATTATAAAAGTATTATGGATTTCTGGATAGCTGAATGGGATCAGGAAGAACATAAGTGACATGGAAGTGATTTTGACGCAAAATTTTATGGATAATTGCAGACAAAATGAATGAGAATAGCTAGCAACTCATGTGAAGATGCTGTTCTTATGAAGTGAAGCATTATTTTCATTTCTTTTGTGGCAATTGTTATCCCAAGAAGAAGACAATTGTCGTTGGATCTATTGTTTATGAATCGAATGGAATATGCAAATGGAACTACTTATGATTCAGGTTACAACTCCTGATTCTGTTCCCACTAAATCAAGTATGCTCCGGTGACGTTGATCAAGGAGCACCTATAGGGTGGCTTTTCGTTTGAATCTTTGCTCGAGACTGTAGTTTCTTTAGAGAATAATGTCAAGAGAATGCATGATTTCAGTGTAATGGTTAACAGCACCTGTTCTTCTTACTTGATATGCCAATTTAGCATTGTTAGCCTTTTTAACTCGACCCCATGCTTCTACAGTGGTGCTTGCTGCTATGTGTTGTTGATGTAGTCATCATCGTCATTGCTATTATTGATTATTACTTTGTTGCTAAATATGTCTCTATTTTCCAAATTGTCATCCGTCTCACAGATAATGATGATGCGATAAAGCTTCATCTCAAGGATCTGGCCTTAGAACTTTCCTGGCCAGTTGGGAAAATCATGGAAGTTCTGCCTGATCTAGGCAGCCGTATTGCTTCCTCTCCTTGTTCTTGTTCCCTAGAGACGTCAAAAGCAATTGCTTCTCTTCTCGAAGATCAAAATATTCCCGAGGCCAATATTGGAATCGCATCCGGCGTTTCAGCTTTTCTTTGGCTGTACACGTCCATTCATGGGTATATGTCTATAAATTTTATTCATGTTCTGATAACTTCTGATTCAAGAAAATTCTTTTACTCCACCCATTGAGTTGCATTCCCTGATTGAGTTGCATTTTATAATTTATCAGCAATAAGCCAGCTAAAATTGTTGTCACATCGGAGCTGCCATTAGGCTCGGGTTTGGGTTCGTCTGCCGCCTTTTGCGTCGCACTTTCTGCCGCACTCCTTGCCCTATCTGATTCTGCAAAACTGGATTTTAGCCATCAAGGTTGGCAGATGTTTGGAGACAGTGAGTTGGAGCTTGTGAATAAATGGGCTTTTGAAGGTGAAAAGATCATCCATGGGAAGCCATCTGGGATAGACAATACAGTTAGTACCTATGGTATGTAAGCATGCTTCTCTTTTAGTCATTACTGACATCCTTAGACATGCCTCTTTGCTTCAAATAATAGAAAGAAGTCAATCTTTGTCTGAACTATATCAGGGATGTTTTTAGATTCTTAAACCTCACGAACCCACCCACAAAAATGTGTTGAATTTTCTTCATTATGATATTCTGGGAAGTATTTAGCAGGTTTGCAACTTAATAATGCAAATGGGTTGAACAACCAAGGATGGGCACATTATGACATGGTGGCCTTCAAAGAAAGCATATTCGGTTACTAAATTTACATAATATCTGAAAAGGTTGATCTATGCAATGCCAATTAATAAGGCCGGCATAATTAGAGCACAATGTTGGGGCAGTTTTATTTGATTTTGTTATTTGGCTAATGAACTGTTTTTTTCTCAGGGAACATGATAAAATTTAGGTCTGGTGACCTCACGCGCATAAAGACAAATATGCCTCTTAAAATGCTGATATCTAATACGAAAGTCGGAAGAAATACAAAAGCGTTGGTAGCCAGCGTCTCAGAAAGGACACTGAGGCATTCAACAGCAATGGCTTCTGTGTTTAATGCCGTTGACTCCATAAGCAATGAGTTAGCTGCCATAATCCAATCACCAGTTTCTGATGATCTTGCAATCACTGAGAAAGAGGAAAAAATAGGAGAACTAATGGAGATGAATCAAGGGCTACTGCAGTGCATGGGGGTCAGCCACGCATCAATCGAGACTGTGATTAGAACTACGCTAAAATATAAACTATCTACTAAACTCACAGGAGCTGGTGGAGGAGGCTGCGTTTTGACGCTACTTCCAACCTGTATCCATTTTGCCTATACTTCTGTTATTTATTTTTATTTTTCTTTGATTTTACTGGATATATTACAAAAATCATCATTTGAGACTATTAAAAAGGAGCAGCTACCGTTCAAAACTTCGAATATCGCAGTTGCTTTTTAATTTACAACTTGAACTTATGAAGGGAGGTACTTAGGAATAACAAAATCTTATCATCTTATGGTCAAAATCCATGTTCTCTTTCAGTTTATGTGTACATTGGGAAATTGATGTTCTTAACGTTGTGACTCAGTATTATCAGGAACGGTTGTCGATAAAGTTATTGCAGATCTGGATTCGTGTGGGTTCCACTGTTTGATTGCGGGAATTGGTGGAAGAGGCATGGAGATTAGTTTCAGTGGTTTTTCCTAACATGCGGCTCGAAAGTGGCATCGTAAGCATAAGATCTGGACCGTGTATCTTCAAAACTTATTTTGCAGATGTAGAAGATCATATACCCCAACTTTTAAATGCGTGTACGATTATTTTTTCACGATATGTTAGTTGAAAGCAACTCTTTTATAAGACATTTCTCGATCAAGCCTTTTGTTTTCTGCATCAGCTGAAAAAAAGATTAAATAATAATAATTTCATCGCCGTTCCAATTTGTGCGTTGTGGAGTTGAAGTAGCCATCCCATGTTTACTTTGAATTCTAGACAAAGGTTATTCGTTTAGTTTCGGTTATGTGGTTCTTATTGCCGTATGGTTTAGTACTTTATCGAGATGGTAATCCTATCTGCCTATTTTCTAGTCTACAGTTTAAATCTAGTGATTTACCATTGCGCGACAATCAGTTATTTATGATGAACTTGTTATAATATAATTACCTCCACAGATGATAGTAAAACATAAACCATTTCCAGACATTGGTTTTGAACGGAAAAAATGGACGATCCATCAGATTGTATGTGTTCAGAGGTAAATGGAATACGAAACTGTTGGAATCTAATCTGACAGACTTCGTAAGTTTAGTATTTGATTTAAATATTTTTTAGGGAAAAATGAAATATAAAAAACAAAAGCTATATGCCCAGAAGAATAGAGTTCAGAGTTCAGACCATATGAGTTTACACGTAATCATCAATTCACTATATGAGTATGACTACAAACTAAAGTAAAATTTTAAAGACCTAATGAACATCCATATTGCTTCTCTAAGTGATGTGAACACTGTAAGGAAAAATTAGTTTCGTACCGATTTAACGATTCTATTTTTTGTAAGTAGAAGACTTAGAAAATTCTCAAAACCTTTTTAAAGTGAATGAGAAATTAATTCTAAGTGTTATATTTTAATTAATTGAGTTTAAATAACTCAAAAGGTTGTAGGGTTCACAAACATTATATTTTAATAAATGTTTGGACAAATTAAGCGAGCCATAAATATGCATTATGTATGCTAGAATTGTAGAAAGAACAAGCATAAAGAAATTGTTCACTTTTAGCTTCAAAAAGGAATCAAGCATCTCGGGACTCGTTGGGGACAAGTAGGAAAAAATGGAATTCAATTCCGAGTCCGTATGAGCTCGTACGAGCCCGCAGCGCACGGGCGCGCAACTGGCTGCGGAAATCAAAGGGTCGCAACCCTTGGTGACCACAAGGTATCTTTTGGCCACTAAATGCATCCGTTCTCATTCGGACACGTCCCAAAAGGTGTCTTTTGACACTTAAACCTCTTGGAGGTGTTTCCCTACATCTATAAATACCCACATAGATGAAATCATACATAACTTGAACAACATGAAAACTAGAGAGCTCTTGCATTATTTTTTCAAAGATCATATAGCATATTGTGGTCTATGATTTTTCCATTGAGTCGTGAGAGTTCCGAACAATAGTAGTGTTCGCCGAAAGCTTGTATATTTGAAGTACCGCTATATACAAGTCGAAAGTCGTTGTATCTTGGAGGCGTTTGCTGTTAACCGTGGGTATTTTACGGGGCAATTTCGTCTTAAGGAGAACGTAACTATTACGTGCCTCGACTTTGATTTTTGTTTCGTTTTTCTTCATTCTCCTTAAGCCTTCTTTTTGATATTCACAAACCACACAAACTACAAACACTATGTACAACACAACAAAAGCCATCTTAAAAATTAGCACAAATTTCAATTTCCATTAGAATCTTCATCAAAGATGTACAAGCATGGAACAGCAGGAACATGCTCCAGAGGAGACTCAACACGGTCAGCCTCATTTATTTCATGAATTTCCCAACCTAAATGCTCGGCATAGACTCTATCAAAGGCATCGATGTTTAGGCCTGAAGCAAGGAAAAGCTCCAACTCATTCACAAACCTTTCTGTTCTACCAGTTAAAAAACGCCTGACCGCTTCAGATACCGAAACCCTGAACTCTTTCTGTGCCATTTCACTTGTAATTCTTGGATTATTCGACCAATCTCTGGAGAGAGAGAGAGAGAGAGAGAGAGAGAGAGAGTAAATCTATTAATTTAAAAAGTGGGTATAATTTATGAATAATAGTTTACCTAAAATGCCAATTAAGGAGTTTGGTTGATTAATTTACTGACTATTGAAGAGGCTCGAATTTACCTTATCAATGAGTCAATCACGCCAAGTATGTGGTGCACGATAACATCCACGTCCTCCACCTGCATATGAAGCAAAAACAATAGATTTTTATTATGTAATATGCTTCGGTACACGAAATTGGTCCAGAGATGTACATTTATGATTTGTGTCATGGATACCAGAGATAAGTAAATCATCCAAATTTAACCAGTCAATAAAAAGTAGCAGATCAACATTTTCAGTAAGATTACATACAAAGACATAACATAGATGAAATGGAGAAAAAAAAAAGAAACCTGCATTAGCGACTGAATTTCTCTTCTTAACCAGACTGGCAAAAAATGATTCTGCTTCACATACTTACGCAACTTCCAATGGCGTGAAACGGATAGTTTATCGGCTAGGTCACCTGCCCCGCAATGCCAATAAGGGTATGAATGAATATCTTTGTACATAATGATAGCACACACACACACACAAAAAAAAGGAGTTTCCTAAAGTATGAAAAGATAATTAGAGAAAAGTACCTGGTTCAGTATAGTAACATTTTAATCTATTCCTGTGAGCCCTCGAAAAGAAATCTCTGCTGAAAGAAATAATAAATTACCTCAAACAATTATCTAAAAAGAAATGTAAGAAGGAAAAAATTGCATGACTAACATAGTCTCGAAAGGAATACCTATTCCTCAAGCTCCTACAGATATAGTGCTGTTGAAAAGAAGTTCCATCAAATCCGTAAATAATGGACAAGTTCTCTGTCTGAAGGACGATATAAATTTAGCAGTGAATTAAGATCCTAACAGTAAGCCACAAGAGAAACCTCATATGATTTGAAATATTTTGCCAACCATAATTGCAAGAAAATGGTACTATTTAAAAGAAAAGAAGGCACAACAGAGCCAATATTGAAGGAATGAAACCCAGCCCTGGTGGAAAAATTATTTTTTTCAAAGAAACAAGGGAAAAAGAACTCCTGACCAAAATAACTTTCACGAACAAATCTAAAGTTTGAGCGAAACACCTTGTTTACTAATTTACTAGTTTTTTTTGTTAACCAAGGTTAATTTTTAAAAAGTTGATATGTGTTAATTGTTAATGGGATTTTAAATTTGTATTAGCATAATATTTAAAATAAAATGATTAAAATTGATTTGATGTAAAAGTATGAATAAATGATTGAAAGTGATAGGTAGTTAAAATTATATGAGTGGATGAATAGTGAATTAAAGTTGATGTGATGCGTAAGAATGATTGACTGATATTATTTAATTATATTGACATTATTGAGAATAGTGGGGTTTAGTTAAAGTTGAGTTAAATTTTGAGTATGAATTGAGTATAAGTATGAATATTTTTATAAACAAACACTTTTAAATATCCTCGGACAATCTTGGATTAACATAAATTGTGAAAATTTATATGATTAAACCAACCTTACATAAAGGACATGCCAGTGTTGAAGATGCACGTGAGCGCTTGCTCGCAACTACATCAGTCCATCTTATGATGCAATTATAGCAAAATTTATCTGCAAGTTAGTAGCTTAGGCATCAAGGCCATATTCCATCCTTTTAAATACTAGATCAAGCAAACATTACAAAAAATATTCATGTCATCTGAAATTAAGTCCTACAAAGATGTCAGAGTTTCGCAACTATCAAACATTCATTATGAAGTGCAAGAACGGGTCTAGAGAGAGATGACGTTCAACAGAAGGATTGGATAAGCTTACACACATTTTTAAATAAAAGGGTTTCAACTTAATGCTTCAAAATCCTTTTATTTCCTTCATCGTCTAAATCCACAAACTTACAAAGGAAATTAATAGAAAAAACCATCATTGATCAGACAAAACACAAAGAACATATCGAAATGCCAAATATACACAGATATTAAGCAAACATTGAACCCTACGCCACAAATCAGATCTTGAATTCCACATTTTCTTCAAGAATGTCAATGATGACATTTCTGAAGGCTCCATTTTGGTGTCTTAAGGGTTTAGATAACCGAGAAAGCATAAAAGGAAAAAGTTTAGTTACTAGAGAAGTAACTCTTAACTTAATAAGATCATCAACTAAAATCAACAGCTGAGCTCGTCAAGATAACCAAGTCAACTAATCCCACTCTTTACCAAATTTGAAATAACAGCCTAATAGAATCCTGAAGGGCTGAAATACCCAAGACTGCAGATTCTAATAAAGTACAAGGAAAATGGTCGAAACACAACTCGATTTTCATTTCTTTCTCCGGTTTCCATACCTCAGAAGTTCAAACTTACAAACAAAAATAAGGAACACATAACATCAACGTTCTGCCACTTATACTTCAATTACAAACTTGGACTACCTGAAATCACAATAGGCTTAAGAACTACTTTTCAAGATTTCATAATTTAACTCTTCCTAAGCATTATTTATACAAACCCCACATGAAAAGATTGCAATTTGAGGCACCCATTGACCTCATCCAACTATATTTACTCCACCAAAACTTCTAAAATTCAGAGCAGCGAATACGTATAATGAACAGAAGCTAGAAAGTACGTTATATGCAAGATTCACTTAAACCCTAAAAAAAAAAGAGAAAATAAAAGATGTAAAAAACACAAAATTGCCATTAAAGAATGCACAAATTTGCTCAAATAAAAAAGAAGAGAGGTTCATAGAGACGTACGGAAACATTTGTCCAGATAAGAGTCTTCGGTGACTGATGCAAGACAAATCGGGCACGGATTTGGGTCCGATTTGGAAGAGGAGACCGTCGGGCTATTAGCTTCAGCCATGCGAGAGACACAGGACGAAGCTTGAAAAGTGCCTTTGTAGTTTTTGATAACGACGTCGTTCCACTTCATAAAATTTCTTTCTAAAAAGCTGATTTCGGATTGGTTTTTTTTTTTTGT